GGGGGGGGGGGGGGCAGCCTGGTTGAGGAGGGCGCCGGCAATGACCGTGACGGTGGTGGTCCCATCGCCCGCCTCGACGTCCTGCGACTTGGACAGGTCCACCAGCATCTTTGCAGTCGGGTGAGCGACCTGTTTGGCGGGAGAGAGAGGAGCGCCTGGGTGAGGGAGAGCGGGGATGGTGCGGAGCCGGCTGTATGCGCGGCTCGCCTCCATCTGCTTCAGGATCGTCGCTCCGTCGTTGGTGATGACCACGTCGCCGCCCGCCGACGAGATCTGCGGGGAGGGCGAGCGGTGCGTCAAGCCGGCGGTGAGTGGCGGCGAGGCGTGCGGCGGGGTTGGGCGCCATCTTGTCCATGCCACGCGGGCCGAGCGACGTGCGCACGGCGTCGGCGACCGACTTGGCCGCCACGATGTTGCTCTCGCGCACGCTGCGGCAAGGCAACGGGCTCAACCGCCCGCGGCCGTTCTCTCGCGGCTGCAACCGCCGTGGCGGCGGCGCGGCAGGGCGGGAGCGGGCACGGCGTGTGCGAGGGCGCAACGCACCCCTTCTCCTGAGCGCGATCGCTAGCCTTGCGAGTTTGGCCTGGACCGCTGGCGGCTGAAGGCGGCATCGTTGTTCTGGCGGCAAGAGAGGTCGAGGCCCGCGCAACGCCTCCGGGCCCGCCAACGCACATTCTTTTCTGCCAGAATAAATTCTTTTTCTCTCTCTTAGCTGACGCACTCGCCGCCGTGAGTTACAGTAGCCCCAAACAACCTGACGTGGCGGCGGCAAACATCGGCAGGGGGCACAGGCGCCTTGTTGCCGATTTGAAGCTCACGAGCTCGCTTGCGAGCAAGGCCAAGGGCAAGGACGCGGCCGGCGACGGAGAGCTCGGCTGGAAGGGGGCGTATGTTCGCTTCGGCAATACGGAGCCCGGGCTGCTCAATCTGGTCAAAGGGCGCGGCAAGTACTCGCCGTCGGGAGCGACGGCAGCGGCGGTGGCGGAGGAGGAGGACGAGGAGGAGGAGGCGGAGGAGCGGAGGTGGAGGAGGTAGGGGAGGGGGAGGATGCGGATGCCCCCAAGGGAAAGCTCAAGGAGCTGGATGGCGATTACCGCTTTGCGCGGGAGCAGGATTGCGATCTGCGCTTGTTCGACTTCGAGAGCTTCGGAGGCTTTGGAAAGGAGGTTCGCAGCACCCTGAGCGCTGGAGGGAGGCGGCGAACCAGCTGAGCAACAAACTTTCGCATGCTCAGCACCTGGACGAGGTCACATGGACAACCAAGAACTGGCACGGCCTGCAAATGCAGCGTTTGTCTGTCCCGAGTCTGTCGTCCTCCACACCGCTGTGTGTGGCGTGGCAGACGGTGAACGAGCTAGCGTGCGGGGAGAGCGGCATTGTGCATGGTGCGGAGTGCATTGCCGTGAGGACGCCGCGCGGCTCGACGTCTGGACAATACTTCTTGAGCTCGTCCGGCTGGGAGGAGAGCAGGTGGACGACGGCCCAGGCCTCCTCGCTGACCTTGAACTGGTAGATGCGAGGTGCCTCAGTGGTGCGTGCTCTACTCATGGGCAGAGCTGGTGCAGTGCAGCTACAGCAAGAGGGGCGGCAGGTGCACCAGGGTGCATTCGAATGGGACCTAGCCCTGCGCGCAGGCGCCAGAGCCGCCCACACATAGGGCTAGGCCCAAGTGGATGGGCAGCCATGGTGAGAGGGGCGCAGGGGCCGTGGCACGGCCGCTGGAGTGCGCGTCCGCTGCTCCACGACGAAAGCACCTTTGGTCCGGCTGGGCTGTGTGACACCTCGCTAGGGTTACGAAAAGAATCCTTTAACGTCGCTTAGGCGGCTCCGGTGGTGAGCCGGTGTGTGTGCCAGTCCGCGCCAGTCCGCGCCCTTGTCGAAGAAAGAAAGAAAGAAAACGGACAACCCAAGGGAGGGATGGGAGAACGGCATAAATAAATAAATAAACCGGACATCCCAAGCTAGGGCTGGGTCGAGGACAGACACGTCCCCACCTTTGCAGGATTTTGCAAACGCCGCCACCCGGATGGCTTAGAATTCTTTTGGCAGTGCGCCGGGCAGAGGCTCTCGCCAGCGCGTGTATGGCCAGTCAAGCCGGCAAGAAGTCGGGCAAGCGCAAGGAGGCGCAGGCTCGCAGGGAGACGCAGGCTGCCGCAGAGGTGCGCCGCTCCGCCGCCCTGGGGCGGGCAGCGGCCGAGGGCCTCGGTGGGGAGCGCTGTCGCAGGGAGACGCGCGCTGCCGCACCCCTGAGAGTGCGCATCCGTGCCCTCCGCTCCGTCCGCCTGACCGCGTCCTCCGCCTGCGCGCGCGCGCAGGAGGACGGCGAGGCGCTGGCTGAGCGCGTCGCAGCGCTGGCGGGCGACAACCAGACCGACGCTGTCGACGCTTGCTGCGGTGTGGCTGACGAGGGCTTCCGAAGGGGAGCCCACGAGCTGGCGTTCGCGGTGATCCGTGCGAGTCTGCACAAGCATGGCCTCCAAAACGACAAGCTCTGCCGCCGCTACTTCTTCCTGCTGGACACGGTGGTAAAGGCGCGCATGTCGGCAAAGAAGAAGCCAGAGGGGCCGCCCAAGATGCTCTACTTGCGCGAGATGCTGGGTCGGGTGCCGGAGGTGCTCTCGGGCCAGCTCGCCCTGCTGGGCGGCGTCGACGGGGTCAAGGCGGGGGAGCGATGCGTGCTGATGAAGGAGCGCGGCGTGATGGTGATCGGGCTCTCGCTGCTGGAGTGGCGGCTGCTGCTCGAGAAGCAGGCGGGCCCAAAGATGGAGATGCAGATGATCTCGGGGGTGGAGGAGGCGGTGGTGCGCGGTCTCTCGCAGAGCGAGGGCATGTCGGACGCGCAGGCCGAGATCAAGCTGAGCTGGAACGCGTGGGCGCTCAAGCTGTGCGAGGCTGAGGAGGGCACGCCCCAGCTGCGCGGCAAGTGCCTGCTGCAGCGCACGGTGCTGCTGCTGGCGCAAAACAGCTTCCAGAAGGCCATCGACAGCAGCGGCGAGGTGATGCGGATCCAGCCGGCCAACAAGCACGCGGCCGCGCTGAACGCCACCGCGCTGCACAAGATCGGGCGCAAAAAGGAGGCGGCGTCCGCGGTGACCGAGCTGATCGGCGCGTTTCAGCGGTCCGAGGACCAGCACGTCCAGGACGAGCTCGGCGCGCCGCTCGAGCTGGTCGTGTCGCTGCTGGTGGAGATGCACCGGACCAAGGAGGCGCTCCGCCTCCTCTCGCAGCTCCTCTCGCGCGTGTCCGGCCCGCGCCACCAGCCCCTCTTCTTCGGGCTCGCGCGGCTCTACGCCAAGCACGGCCTGAACAAGGACGCGCTGGTGCTCAAGCTGCCGCAGCTCTGCACGCGGCCGCCCGACCGGCGGACGTGGGACCTGCTCAAGTCGATGGCGGAGTACACCCCCGCGGCGGTGGAGCAGCTGCTGCAGTCCTACATCGACGAGGCGGGCCCCGGACGCTTCACGCACGTGCCGCAGATCACCGAGGTGATGTGCAAGCTGCCGTTCGGCGCGCACGGCTCGGCCGCCAACAAGGCGCTCAAGCTGCTGCAGCGGTGCGCGTCGCAGGTGGCGCCCGACCGGCCAGAGGACCTCAAGATCATCGTCGAGGACCTGCGCGCCTTCATGTCGTCCAACATCCCGCCGACGGTGAGCGAGCAGTTCCCTCGCACCATCGAGTCGCTGCTGCTCGCGTACTGCGAGGCGCTGACGGCGCAGCACACTGCCGACGCGTGGGAGATGCCTGGCGACCTGATGAAGCGCGCCTTCAACGGGCAGCCGCCCGTGGTGCTGCTCGAGCAGCTGCAGCGCTCGTGCCTCCGCCTGCCGCTGACGTCCGAGAAGACGCTCTGGGTCGTCTTCCGCCACCTGTCGCCCGACTCGGGCGTGGCGCTCGTGCGGACCTGGCTGCTGCAGAACGACGCGGCCGCCGACGTCGACAGGATGGAGCGGTGCGCTCGGCACTTCCACATGGCGAAGGGCGAGCACGCCGCCGCGCTCGATCTGCTCCGCTGGGCTGAGTCGCGGGGGCTGCAGGTGCCGGCTGAGTCGGCGCGGAAGTGGCGCGAGCTCTACTTCACCGTCTTGCGGGCGACGGCGGAGGAGCGTGCGACGACGATGAAGCGCGGCGGCGCCTTCACCAGCGGCGGCCTCGACATGGCCACGCCCGCTGTGCACGACGGCGGGTCGGAGGAGGGCGCGGTCGCGATT